GTATATCTGCATTAGAAACAGCACCTGGTATCATGGTCATAAGCTACCTTACCAATGTAGGGTTTACTGTGTAGAAGATGAGAATCTGGACTGTACAGGGGGGCAGAGCCACAACATTTCAAAGCATGAGCTCTTATCAGTATATTCAGTTGTACAATCATGCTCTTTCAGGCCTATACTATCTCTGACATTACAGGTTAGTATTCATCCAGCATGTGCCACCAGTCATATTATAGTTGGCATATATGAAACCCAAATTCTTCCTACTCCAGTTCTTATTACTCAACAAAGTCAGTGTTTTGTTTTGCAGAATGTAAAAGTTGACATTTAAAGAACCATTAAACAATTTCAGTTTTACATTCTCGATCAGGATAAAAGATTTGTTTGTGGTTTTGAGTAGCAAATAATATATGAGGTAGACCACTAGTCTTTGTCTCCAATGTGTCCCTGATTGGGACTCTGGTACTATTAAGAGCTCAGCTGCACTGGTGAAATCTACACTCACTAACAGCTGAGAAGGCTCTACCATATTAAAGAAGATCTGTGTATGATGCACAGTCTGTGAATCAGGGCAAGGACCTCTAGGTTCTAAAATGTTCTAAATGGTCCCCATCCAAAGGGCATCTGGAAATCGTATAGGTCACATTACCAAAACACCCAGGATCGTAAGAATGTCAGACAAAATTGGCAGATTCAAGCAGTTTTTCCTTCCTGTTTGCTAAGTGAATTTTGCAAGCGTTAATAACAAAGATGCCTTTCAGAAAAGGTAGAATTTAAAACAGCTTAATTGTTGTTGTCCAATGCATTTCAAGCAATCTTCTAGAGCATCCATTACAAGAGGAACTAAAACTAGATGGCAATGGAATTACTCAGTGATAGTGTCTTCAGACAACAGAAGGCTCACGTGGAAGGTCAGATGCTTATTCATTTCAACCGCTTTCTTTGCACTTTCCAGCATTATTCTAATATTGCTACAGAGTACATCATTCTGAAGAACCTTCCTGTGCTATCAGATGGAGATGCTTGAATAAAGCTCTTCTATTTGTTTCTTGAAGTATTCCCTTAGCTCTGGTCTCCTAGCTTTTAATGTAGGTGTCAACAAGCCATTCTGTACAGAGAACATTTCAGAGTGGATATAAACAGCTTTAACCTGAAAAGAAGAGGAAGGAAAAAATAAGCACAATATTTATTTATTTTAAAAAGATAAATTTTAAATAAAGCAGAATGGCTAATCCAATACCACTATCAGTTCTAGATATATACATTTATGTAGACATGAAACATCCATGCATGAACACATTTGCTAAAATGTGCTATGCACCAATCATTAAATAAGATACAATAATGTAATACTTGTCTACTCCACATGAACACTTTTATCCAAAGTGACTTACTGTTAGGTGCCATCCTTGTCCAATGGAGTTGAGTCCAGTTTTACATGGCAGCCCTTTCAAACCTACCAAAAACCTTCACATGAGGCTGTGAATAGGAACCACTACTGTTTGGGTTAGACTGCTACAGAGTGGGAAACGCCTGAAAGGTACATAGGCATCTCCTGTCAGTGACACTCCATACCCTTTGTAGCATTTTTAGGAAATTTGACAGACTAGTATGGGAGGGGGAGGCAAAAAGTCCATCTCTCCCAGCCCCATTGTGTGTGTATGTGCCTTCAAGTCACCAGATGACTTATGGTGACCCAATGAATCTCATAGGATTTTCTTGGGCAAGGAATACTCAGAGGTGTTTTTGCCAGTTCTTTCCTCTAAAATGTAGCATACAGCACCTGGTATTAATTGGTGGTCTTCCATCCAAGTACTAACCAAGGCTGGTCCTGCTTAGCTTCCAGGATTGGACAGAATCTGGTGCTTTTAGGTAATTTAGGTTCTCCCTGTTGCATGCACCTAAATCTAGATCCTACCTATTGGCTTTTTGAAGAGGTTGATGCCTTCCAAAACATGTAGAGAAACAGCATATAACAAACCACAGTTGGTTACTTCTATGTTTTAGCTGAATCTTGAATACTTACCAGGTGAGATATCCATGTCAATTTTATCTATTCAGAAGAAAAATCTCACTTGTGTTTCTTAAGCGGCTTACATATCTCAATATTTAGAGAAATGCGAATGTTTTTGGAAATTTTTGCAAAGGTTTCTTTCTTTGTTCTTGTGTGCCTTCAAGTTGTTTCTGACTTATGGCAACCATAAAGTGGTTTTCAAGGGGTTTTCCTTGCAAGATTTGTTCAGGAGGGTTAGTGTTTGTCTTCCTCTGAGACTGAGAGAGTGTGACTTACTCAAAGTCACACAGTGGATTTCCATGGCTGAGTGGGGATTTGAACCCTGGTCTTTTAGAGCAGGGGTAGGCAACCTTTCCCCTTTAAGGGCCGAGGGACTTCAGCTCCCAGAAGCCTCAGCCATGTTAGCCAATAGTCCCATGTTGGCCAATAGCTCCTGGGATTCTGGGAGCTGAAGTCCCTCGGCCCTTAAAGGGGAAAGGTTGCCTACCCCTGTTTTAGAGTCATGGTCCAACATTTAAACCCCTATAAGCACACTGGCTTTGGGCTTGTCTTATCAGTTACTCCTTGTTTTTAATCTGTTTAATCTGTCTAATTATGTTTTTAAATTGGTTTTGTCATATTTGCTTGTATGGAAACCCTTTTGAGATTATTTTTTAAATGAACATCAGTATAAAAATGCTATATTTTTTTTTAAAAAAAATCACAGAACGAAATAGGCTAACATCTCAGTGAGTACAGCAACAACTAGGGCTCACTCTTGTCATCACAGAGCAAAGAACTATGTTTGTATTTTGTTAATCCTAACACAGGCTGCCAGCACTGTGTTAAGAGGAAGCCTGCTTCTCTAATCTCTGGTGGCAAAGGGGAGACCAGAAGAGGTGAGCAATTTGGATCTGGACTGGTAATGTCAGGAGAACTTGCTGGTGTGAGCTTCTTCTGGGTGAAGAATTGTGAATGTGAGCTTTCTGGGAATGACGATGGAGGAAGAAGGCAGACAAGCACTTCAGTGATTATAGCACCAGCAGGGAAAGACCCATTGGTAATCAAGTGCAACCTTGTTTTGTTGCTAAGATTTCAACAGGGAAAGGCTAAAAACTTCATCAGACAAATGCTGAACCAAGACTCAGGACTGGGTATTCTGAAACAGTGAGAGCCTGGGAATGAATGTGTCCAGGCATCAGAAACAGGTAAATATCCTTACAAAGCAGCAAACTTTTGCAGGGCCAAGTTGCTGAAGAAACAGAGTAATTTAGGACTGCTGTGTCATATATAGGACAGGACTGTTTACTCTTTGTATACACAGACTGAATTCAGCAGATGCTAGATCTCTGTCTTTACTATGCATGAGAATGAGATAATGAGGAACTCTGCTATTTTTCTAGTTTCAACACTATGGCCAAAATTATGTTGGTGACTCTAAATTAGAGTAGGCCTATTGAATCAATTGTTCAATGGTGCATCTGCACATAAATAAATCCCACTGATACATAGGTGTCCTCTAGTTGGGAATAATAACAGGACTGAGGCTGGTACCTCAAATAGCCAGAGCCAATGTCCATGTTAGCTGGGAATATTTGGAACTTGTAGCCCAAGAAAATGACTTTTCCAAGCTGTAGGAGGATGGCTGCCTTTGATTAGGTCCAGGCTCCAACAGTATCAAGGAAGCTTGCTCTAGTCTACACAGAAAAAATGGGCTGTTCAGCAAACATGAGCAGTTTCTGGTAGTAACGATGTTCATGAAGAGATCAGATGGGAAGACTTGCCTGGAATACCTTCTTTGTAGTCAGAGTGCTTCTACTTTGTGATTTTTATTTCTCTACTGTATCTCACATCACAATTTCTTTTTCAAAAACCTTCTTAAAATCCCACTTAAAATGTTTAAATCTGTAATAATAAAAACCTTGCAAAATACAGTCTGCTGAGAAATTCCAATTTGACCCTGGTTTCCTTGGGGAAATTATACTGCTCTCTAATTTAACGTGATTCTGGTGGAATAGTGAATTTTGATTAATTATTTACATATTCAATACATGGAAGCCAAACACTGGCAAATATTGTTTCTGTTTGTTCATTTTCTAGATCATGAATAGAGGGAGTTAGTTTTTTCCATTAAAGCCATAATCCACATTTTCATCATTTCATGCACTGATATGAAATTATTCAGAGATTCCAATGGGAAAATTTAAATGTACACTTGCTCAAATGTTTCCATAAATGGCAAACTATTCCCCAACACAAATTGGAATTAACTGACAGACTAGTAGACTGCAACAGGGAAGGTTACAGCAAGGGGTAGGCAACCTTTTTGAGCCGGGGGCCGGGTTGCTGTCCCTCAGACAATTGGGAGGCCAAAGCACCAAAAATAAATAAATTAGTAAATAAATCAATAAATATTTAAAAAATAAAAAAATATTTAAAAATATGCATGCACACTCTCTCAGCCCCAGAAAAGCCATGGCAAAACCCCTGTGGAGATTTTGCCAAGAAAACCCCAAGAACAAGTAATAACAACAATAATCAATATCATGATGGCGGGGGGCAACGGCGGCGGCAGCAGCAGGACTGGTCTGGGGCCGGTCCAAAGGCCTCGGGGGGCCGCATCCGGCCCCCGGGCCTTAGGTTGCCTACCCCTGGTTACAGCAAGCCATAATGCCTTGAAAAGGCACAACACTTTTAAATGCAGAATCAGCTTTCCAAGAGCTTATACAGGTCTTAGTGAATTTACTATTAAGTTTCAAAGTCTAATACACAAATACAAGGTACTACATCTAATTTTAGAACTAATTGGAACCTACATTTTGGTTAACTAACCAGCCTCATTCATTTTAACTGGCCTGATCTTGTTGTGTGCCTTGAAGTAGTTTCCAACTTATGGTGACCCTACCATGGGGTTTTCTTGACATGATTTGTTCAGAGGGGGTTGCCTTTGCCTTCTTCTGAGGCTGAGAAAATGTGACTTGCCCAAGGTCACCCAGTAGGTTTCCATGGCCAACCAGGGATTTGAACCCTGGTCTTCAGAATCCCAGTCCAATGCTCAAACCACTACACCATGCTGGCTCCTGGACCGATGCAGTTGGGACTAATATTAAGAGTGCCTCTATTACAGTTACAGTTTTAAATTACAGATTTGTAACTGAACTTTATTTTGGACTATGCTGCCCAAATGATATTTTAACATACTCTTTGTCTTTCTGTGTATGCCTATGTATAATAAAAAAAAGACAGAGAAAGGCAATACTGTTAATATTATGTCAATTTCTGAACACTCCCTATCTGAGGTCCTGGGATCTGTTGCAAAAATATCTACGTGTACGTCATGAGAAGATTAGACTATGTGCAGGGAATGAACAGAACAGCTGTATTTTCCAGGTCAACTGTAAGAGTGGTAATTAAGCATCAGAACATACTTTTCAGCCCTGCTCTCAGGTTGGGTGGGATGGAGTTTCAAATGTTTTAGCATGTTGTTGATCATGGGAAATTCAAAGAGACTTTCATTACAAAGTGCCTTTTGTATATCCTTAATCAAAGGCATTTTAATACACATAAAAAAGAAATGAGCTTATGACTGCACCACAAAGTGCAGTGAGGTTTTGAACTTTTATATAATGCATGTGAACATCCCTACCTATTCATCTTAAAGAAGAGGGTCATCTGATCTGATAAGTCAAAGCTGTTAGTATTTGGGCTTTACCTGTTCAAATGAATGAAGTCCACTCTCTTTTCCTAACTGGACCATGTCTTCCATTATTGCTTTTTTCAATTCCTAAACCAGAATACATGAAAAACAATTACTTCCAGCCAGGAAGTTGTATTCAGCAAGAAAGAAAATCATCTTAATAAAACATTCTTGGTTTTACATGTTATGCATTTGTGGGCATATGTACAAACAAGAAAGAGAGGTGGAGAAAGAATGAGATGGCACACAGAGAGAAAGAACTACTTTATACACTCGACTATAAGTTGACCTCATGTATAAGTCGAGGGCAAGTTTTCAGGCCAAAATTATGGGTTTTGCCATGTCCTCTGGATAAGTCAAGAGTGAAACTTGGGAGCTCCTTCAGTGAGTGTATGTACAGCAAGAGACACTCTAATTTAGGCTTTTTATTTCAACTTTGGTTTCAGGCTTCACGCAGACAGGGACAGCCAGCGCTGGCAATCTTCGCACCGCATGGGGAACTCTGAAAGAGCTGCTATCACATTACCATAGTGACCCATAAATAAGTTGACCTGGGATTTTGGGATCAATTTTTGGGCATACATTTTTAGACTTATAGATGAGTATATACGGTATGCAATGTTGCAAGCTCTGTTGATGTGGGGTATGGATACACCTACTGTCAGCTCTTGCACCAACAGAACTTTCTAATGGATCAGCAGCTGTTCATAGGAGAAAAGATATGCATCCCTACTGTGGTACACTGTGCACAAATGTCGCAAAAGTATTATTGGGTGACATTTTCCACATATATACATATACGTAAGCAAGTCAGAAGTTTGAATTCTGATTTTGCAGGAAGTTTAGTTCTAAGAGATCAAATATTTGATCTTAAAATAAAATCAGGAAGAGTTTCCAGTTGTTGCAATACCACTATAACCCTTCTGGCATGGCTACACAGGCATATATCACTTTGCAAAGCCTCTGACAATGAGGCTCCTTTATACAAAGACTTTTTACATCTATCCAACTCCATTTTTCCTCCTCGTTGTCTCTTATCTAGCTGGACTTTTAAAAAGCAGTATCAGTGGATTGGGATGATGATGGAGGCATGGAAAGACACAGACCTTTGGTGTTGGGTTGCAGCAGCATATCTGCAATAAACAATGCAATAAAGCTTGAGATGGGAAAGAGCAGGAATCTGCTCCAGTTGGTCCTACTGTAACCATGTTTGCCTGCCTATAACTGGCAGAGATGTTTACAGCAAAATGGACAGAAAAGGGGAGAGCAGATAAGCTTGCCTCATTAGCTATTCTCAGCATGTTTTAAAAAAGCTTAGATTTATAAGTCTGGCTACCAAAATGTAAATCATAAAAAACTGGAAGCTAGTGAAAGAAGGAAATATCATCCTTGGATACGTTTTGGAAGAAGTCTTCAAGTGATCTCTAGAAGGTTCAAAATGTTTTTGTTTATTTGCATAAGGCTACTTGGTTGTTCCCTTTCATATGTGCATATCGCTAGTTTTGAATTAAAAACTTTCTAAAATTGCTCTTCATTTTTTGAGGTGCAGTAAACTATCCCTATTCTTCCCATTTTATTTCTGCCTCTGGTGCTACCTTTTCTGTTAAAGCAGAAAGGTTCAGGAACAGATCTACTTCATTAACAGAGGTATTCCTGCACCTGCTTCAGAATTATTTATTACACAGTTATAAAAATCTCAGTCTACAGCTTTGACTTCAGATGGCATCTCCCCTCTCAATCAATGTCTTAAAGTGGTAATGGTCTGGATGAGGAAAAACATATTGAAACTGAATCCAAACAAAACAGAGGTACTAACAGTAACAGCCCCGAACCCAGGTATCGGGACACAATCTCCAGTCCTAGATGGGGTCGCTCTCTCCTCAAAGGACTGTGTTCGCAGTCTGGGGGTGCTTCTAGATCTATCGCTTCAGATGACAAATCAGGTGAATGCAGTGGTCAGGAGTGCCTGCTATCAGCTTCAGTTGATACGCCAACTGCGCCCTTTCGTGGAGGTCAGGGACCTCAAAACTGTGGTAAATCCACTGGTAATCTCTTGTCTTTAATTTCTGCAATGCACTTTACATGGGGCTATCCTTGTGCCTAGTTTGGAAACTTCAACTGGTACAGAATATGGCAGCCAGGCTGGTCTCAGGTAAAACCAAAAGAGACCATATAACACCTATTCCAAAATCGCTTCACTGGCTGCCTATCAGTTTCCAGGTGCAGTACAAGGTGTTGGTTATTACCTTTAAAGCCCTAAATGGCTTGGGTCCAACCTATCTTCGGCACTGCCTCTTTCTGTATAATCCACCCGGGCACTCGGGTCCTCTGGGAAAAATTTACTGCAACCTATAAAAACTAGATTATCTGCAACTGCCTAGAGGACCTTTTCGGCTATCACGCCTAGACTTTGGAACGGCCTGCTGGATGAGATCCATCACTTGACCACCTTAAACAGCTTTAAAAAAGCTGTTAAGACAGATCTCTTCTGGCAGGCCTTTCTTGAGTAGGTAACCAGCCACTGAAAATAGTTATGCCTGTCCCTGATTTTCATTGTAGCTATTTTAAATTATTTGTTTTTGTAATTTAAAATATGTTTTTATATTCTGTCTAATTGTATTTTAGGGGTGGGTGGGCTACTGGGGGTTGGGATTGTTTGTTTTATCTTGTAAGCCGCCTCGATTGTATTTTACAGAGAGGTGGGATATAAATAAATTTTATTATTATTATTATTATAAATCCAACAACTGCAATTAAGGCTACTACCTTTTCTTTAAAGTGAAGTTTATCTCCTTTATGTTTTTCATCCAATGTCTGAATTAAATTCACCCATATCCCAAGGTAGAAATGGTTGTGGACAGGATGTAGTTTTGTACCCAAGCTCCCCAAGAGATTTCATATCCTTTATCCAGATTCCTTCCTCCCTGCACACATGGATGGGAAAGAACCAGAACTTGGAGAAGTTACATTTTTGACTAATATATCTATGGACGTTATCACACGTGGCCCATAAACTGAAAATAAAGTGGAAACGAGGCATCCCGAAAATAAACGGGAAATAAATCTTGTTTCCGCAAATGTCATTACCTTCATTGCGCATTTACAGTAAGTGTATCGAACGTCCACACACAAGAGAAAAAAAACCATAAATGTAGCTGAAATGAGCCTCCTCCACATGCGCAGATAGAGTAATGCTCGCAGGAACCATGGGTAATGACGGGGAAATGCTCCCCAATACGTATTTGGTTATCATACTTACGGTAAATGCGAAATGATCCTCATTGCGCAAATTCAAGAAACCGAAATTAAAAAGATCTCGGTTCTTTCCACTTTCTGTCCGCTTTCTGTCAGGGTTCTGTGCGACGTCGTGTGAAAACACGGGCAAATAATCCGGATTCGGGCGGGATTTCGTTTGGATTCTGTTTGGATTGGGCCCCATGTGATAACGTCCTATATCTATATATCTATAGTAATCAAATAATCTTTTCTATTTCTGAAAAGAACATCTAGTTACCACTACTGTGCAAATTTTAGTTCACCATCAGGCCCCTAAGAACATTTTAAGCTGTGTTGTACAAAGTCAAATCATTCCAGTTCCAGTTCAGTCTTGTCTGCCCTGATTGCCAGGATCTCTCCAGGTTTTCATAGAAATCTGTTGATCTGGAACTGTCTTTGGAATTCCAAGCCAAAAAAAAAAAAAAAAAAGCCCTTACAATGCAAGATTGATATCATCTGGTAGCAGTGGAACAGTACTCATGAAGAGAATGGAAAAAACCCAAGACACTTTGCTGAGTGCTATGACAATGCACAACTGTGCTTATCTAGTGGATCTTTTAAACAGATGTTCAAGCCTCTGACAGCGTAATCATCCTTCTGAATAGGGTCAAATTACAACATACATCAGAAGTATTTTGCTTGTCTTTTTTTTATGCAAGGGAAATCTGTATATGTTTTGGAGGTAGGGAGAAGGATATCACTTCAGGATCATCGATATATATTTTAAAAATCCTTTCCCCCCATCCCATTTTCCACTGAAAATTTACTCTGCAAAGGTGCTACTTGGAAACAGGACCTTTGGATAAAAAAATATCATCTTTGGGAATAATTAATGGGACAAAATAATGTCTCCTCACCTTTGCTGCAGATGTATACCAGATATGAGTGGGTATCTTAAAGTTTTAATTATCGCCTTTAAAAAACTGACAGAAAGTTTGTTCTGATTGTAGTTGTTAACTTATTTCTATGTATCATCATCCAGATTTACACATTTCCCCCACCGTTTCCTGACCCTCTGAATACCTGAAATTGTAGAAGTCTGCAGATTGAACCTTACAGAGGGGTATTGTAAAGTAATAATTATCACCTGGAAGTTACTACGGTA